AACGTGTACACATTGTACAATATTGACCTGGCAAATACACAAGGCAGCARTAGCTAAGGTTATAAACAAATAATTAAAAGAAAAATCTAATGGAAGTATTAACAACAATTGAATACAGGATGCGGACAGCGCAATTAAAACACGCAACATTGCATATACCTGCTTGCAACTTTTAAAAAGTGTATGTGGTAAATTATTATTTGTTTCCTTCACAAATTAGTAAAGAAAATAAACGAAACCGTACTTAATGCTTATAATCCAAAGAGAMAACACTGTAGGGTGAGTCTTAACAAAAATGTTAGGTTAAAAATGAGTTTAGACAGGTTTGGAAAATGAAATACGCATGCTATGCAGCACAGTGTGTTGCGAGCGGTATAGCAGGGCACGTTTTTACTATAAAATTATATTTTATTGTTATTAAAAATACACAAGTGCGAGGAAATAGCTAAACTCAAAGACTATTTATCAATCATTCAATCCATGCATTTTCATTTGTAGAAGGAATCTAAGAGCGTACGTGCAAATCGAAAGCAAAACAGCTGAGCCAAAGAAAGCAAGCTTTTCATCATAACAGCACCAGTAAAATTGACTTTTATCGTTATAAAATAAGTCATTGTTGTTTACTTAGTCATAATACAGCACCAAAGAGTAAATAATTATCAAAGTATACTTCTACTTACCAACCCAACACTCCATACGAGCACAAGGGTTTGTTTTGACCACATCAGGCGGGTCAACCCCAACGTTCAAAGACAACACCAAAGCAACACTTACAGTCTTCATCTAAAACGACAAACATTCACACTCATATTGAAGAATCCTTTAGATGTAAAGCACTAGRTTTTAATGATTCCTTACTCGCTCCTTCATTCGCCATGTTTGTGCTAGATGCTTCGTTCCAGTGATCGTTTCCTTGTGTCTCTTCTTCATAAAACACAACGGTAATTGCCAATCGATTATTTCACCCTCGTCTTCATCGCCAGCACCTTCTTCGWGCTCCAACTCCTCTAAAGGCATTACAGAAGCCATTTCGTCAGTCTACATGGTAATCAATGGTAAAATCAAGTGGAAATCTTGTMAATTCGCCGGTTCTCTCAATGAATCGTAGTAAAACGTGCTCTGTGATGTTGGTTAGTGCGCATGTCGTTGTTTTTATTTACATCCCGCGAGAGTCCCGCGTGACGATTAGACTTTTACKATTTTTATCCAATCAAAATAGTTTGCGGTCACATGGATTGGGCAATATTGATGTCTAAAGARWGCTAAGACATTCTAGCAAGTTCAAAGTTCTTCAAAGATCCAATCAAACCTCGATCTAGAATGTCGAAACATGTCGAAATCTAAAACACGTGAAATTCGCATGGAAAATTCCGGAAATCTTCTGAATTTGCCTTACATGTAAATAATCACATGAAATATGGGAAGATAATTCAATCTTCGAGAAAAATATTATAAGTAATAAATCATATATAGGAATATTTTTTATATTAAAGAAATAATCTGATTATTTTTATTGGGCTTCCTGTGCATCCAATAAGTCAGCGGCGTCTCTAGGGGTAACCACAAGCAATGGCGGACGTCTGTCGAAGACTGACATAAACTTGACGTTTTACTTCAAATTTACCAGTTAAAATGTTTGTAGCTGCTTGTAGTCCGACGTCCTCCATCTTTAGCGAGATGTTGGAGATAAATGCGCAGCGATGTGCCAGCAGAAGAGAAGAATATGACGATGAAATATTGGATGTAAACAAGTTTAATGCAGCAAAGAGTTCACCTGTGTTTTTTGGTCGATATGGTCACAGATTGGGAGATACAGAGACGATACACGACGGGGAAGATAGCATTGGATCGGCTCGTTCGTCGTACTTACCTGATTTTGATCCTGCTACTACTCATCCAGCCACTTACGGCTACGTTTTGTTGGATAAAAAACCGCYGGTTCAAAAAGAGGAGCCAGTTTTGCCAGACCCAAAACAATGTGATTAAAAACTTAAGCTTAAAAGCATAATACTTAACTTAATACCTACTTTGTTATTACATTCCTATAATATTGATGATAAGCTTATATTTGGTATAAAATTTTTGTTTTAAGTTATATAGTAAGCTTAAGTTAATTGAACTAAACTTACTAAGTTATTGTCTTCAGGTAGTTCCAGTGAATACCTCGAGGCATACATATTCCCAGTACTGTTACCTGGTATGGAAAAGATGCTAATAGCAGCCAAAGAAAACAAAGTATTTGAGGTAATTTTGTACTTGACATTGTTTGACATGTACCTTCTTCAAAGGAGCCCTTGAAGTCAACAAGCTGTGGTGGCGGAATTTGTTTACTATCAACTGATGTAAATCCTTCATCACTGTCTCTTCTTCTCCTACAAAGACTTGACATCCAATAAAACAACTGTATGCAGCTTATCATTTTGTAGCCACCGTTTTATAATATCAACCACCTAAATACAGCTAGAAAATTACTATAATTGTAATTCTACCATGTRATCATGTGATGCCCTTCCTACTGCTATAAAAGATGCCCTTTTGGAACCTCTATTTATATATTTCATTTATTATTTCTTCAAGAGAAACTACTGCGTCACATTCTACTGTATTTTTTGTYCTTTTTTATCATTCCCAACTTTCTTTCTTCCATATTTCCATTCTCAATTTTCTTTAAGTAAATCAAGGGGTATTTTGAACTGTTTCATTTACAGAGAAGAAGAACAAAGTTCAATGCATGTGACTTTCTAACAGAGTATTTATACAGGTATGCACACAGGCAGCCCAACTATTTATTGTGAAAACTTAGCCTGCATATAGTCAAACCAAAAAAAAACTGTTGTTATTTTTGGTTCGACTGCACGCAGGCTAGTGAAAACTGTACCTCAATACATTATTTTTTTGTGTTTTGCAGTTTCATGAGTTTTCATATAATCAAAAGATAGAGAAGAAAAAAAAAATAAAAACAATAACAAGAATGTGCTCATTGTTTTTATGTTGTTTTGTAAAATTGTAATGTTTTTTCATCAGTCTTGACAATGGCTCGGCTGAAGCAACGTTTTTTTAAAAAAATCATTATGAATAAACCAACCTACAATCGACATCACCTACAATCATCTATTTGATCTAACAAGAATGTGCTTTTATGTAACCATGTATACTCTCAACAAAATGTATTCCCCAGTACATACAGGTAGACTGTAGGCCCCAAAGGGGATGGGGAAGGGAATTCTGTTTGCAAAAAGACAAGGGTACACAACAAGAGTCTAGTTGAAAATCATGGGCGTTGCAATACCTTATACATTAATATTTAATTATTTCAGAAATAACCCTGTTCATAATGACAGAGAAGAGACCGTGTTACTGGATATTCCATTTGTACAAAGTATTTTAGAAAAAAAGTAAGTAGAAAAATAAACACTTATAATTTGCACAGTATAAATTTGTAGTATCATGAACACACTCATGGAAAAAGTGAGATATATACATTTACTTTTAATATAACTTTTTTCCTTGAAATTGGTCTGAGTGTACACAAAAAATGCTATCAAAAAAACAACAGAGCATGTATGCAATAAGTGACCAATCAGAGCGCATGTAAGACTGAATGATGTCATCCAGCTATYGACCAATCTGAGCATGTGTGATATACCAAATATTATATATAATGGTTAGTATTTATAAATAATAGTTCTAGCTTGTAGACTAACATCCTAGAGTCATCACACTTGTACCGTGAAATATGATCAAAATAAAGAGTAAATATTAGTGTCTATTTATTGACTAATAGTAGATATTACTGAACCAGAACACAGTTCATGAAAACAAAAGTCAATACACAAGAGACTTGACAACTGCCATCTTTATTTCATGTACAATCAAGACAAAAGACACATCTAGATCTAAAATAGCCACACAATACACTAGGGAGCGCGTTTAACGAATCTTTATTTATTTGCGCTGCCGTAAAATCAAAACAAAAGACACATCTAAAGCTAAAATAACCACACAACACGCAAGGAAACGCGTTAAGAATTTTTATTTATTTGCGCTGCCGTGGAATCAAGACACAAGACACATCTAAAGCTAAAATAACCACAAAAGACGCAATAAAACGCGTTTGGAGTCTTTATTGTCTGCGCCGCAGCAAAATATGACAGAAGACATTTTAAGGCTAAATTGAAAATACTGTAACAATAGAAAACCCAGTACGCAAATGAACGTGTTATCTATAAACGAGTTTATTATAAGAGCCTAACCTAAAAATCAAGACAAGACGCACTGAAATGACCCGCAAAAATCTATAAAAGCAACGTGGTTTCGAACGAATTCTATCGCTCAAAGCTGAGTTATTTGACTAGTCAATATAATTAAGCGATTTGACAACAACCAGCGGCGACGTTTTAAACTTATCCTTTGCTTGAAGCTCAAAATAAAACACAAGGAATTKTATTAATCATTTGGGAAATGTTTGTGAGATACGTACCTTCCTAGCATGGGACAATAGTTACCAAATCATTATTTCCAGCAGCACTCGTAACAGCTATAAAGTTAGTTACTATAGCTATCTATTTCACTTTCACCCTATAATCAATAATAGGGCAATTATTCTTATGTCCTTTCAATGAACTCGATTTCCATGAAGCCTATATTTAACACAAGTTCTAGCCCTTCCCGACATCTTTCCTCTGGGTTTAACAAAGAACTAAACTAGCTCTTTATTTCTTTCCTTGTGGGTGGGACATTTTTTAACAAATTCCTCCTTCTTCATTAGGTAGCTTTTAATAACATTGTTTGGCTTCCAATTCTCTTGTGTATTACCTTTTGTTTTTAAGAATTGTTGTGGTTCAGTGATATCTATTTCATACAAATAGTCAGTAAATAAAAACTAATAGTTACTACTTCTTTGATTATGTTTCACGGTACAAGTGTGATGACTCTATCATTGCTTTCATAGTCCTCGACCACCTCTACCATTGTCTCTCCTTCTAAGTGATGAYGAAGCAGCTGTAATAATACAGTCATTCTATCGAGGCTACTGTGTGCGTAAGACACCAGAAGTCCAAGAATTAAGAGAATATCAAAAAGAAATGAGAAATGTAAGTGGGTCACAAATACTTTATTTATTCATTGTATAATATAATGGATGTAGTTTTGGAAAGAGCTCTGTGATGTGATTGATATTTGCATAACTGACCATGGAAATCATCAAAGCTTGATTAAGAATAAAGAAATACAATAAAAATTACGCATTTGGCTATGAATGTTCAAGTTAGTGTGACATTCACAGCAAGCGTTACTCTTTCAGTTGATGTTTTCCTTGTTTTCCTTTAGGAAGCTGTGGATATCTTTCTCAAAGTCGAGGATTTTTGGAGAAAACATCCAGTGGAGGATGTCCCAGAAGATGAAACTGTTACATCAGTGCAACTTGCAGAGAGTACAGCAGAGGAAAGTACAACATMGTTGAATACCACAACAACACCRCAATAAATAACCTTGCTAGCCCCACCAAAAGTTTAATCTACTCCCATCAAACTGCATTGCATCAAATATGTATATAATTATTTGTAATGAGTACAGAATTAAAGTTTTATGCTATTGTTGAGAAGTATTTGTCTCCCATTGTATTTGCCTTCCTTCATTGCTTCAATTGCCAAAGAGT